CCGTCGTGTCCATCGTCACCGTGATCGGCACGTTGACCGTCCCCGATCCGGGCTCGGTCGCTGCAGCCGTCCCGGCCGCCATCGTCACCACCGCCGCGTCATCGTTGGTGATCGTCGCGGTCACGCTGACCACGTCAGCCGCCAGTTCCGCGCCGCCGTAGTTGGCGATAAGGCCAAGGTCGAGCACCTCGGTCGGCTCGAGCACCCCGTCGCCCGACACCACAACAGACACCTGGTGTGTCGTCGCAAGCGCCGGGATCGTCATCGGGCTTCCCGTCCGCGCCACAGTGTCAACAATCGTCGCATCGGACGGCACATCAGCCGTCGACGTCACACCATCGACCTGAACCGTGAGTCCAGCCGCGTACTCGGATGGCCGCGACAGCGCAAGCTCGACCACAAGCTCGTTGGTCGTCGACGCCGCGCCCTCGGGACCGGTCACATCAATAACATCCGTCCCGTCGCCCGACACAGCGGTCGTCGTTCCGCCGACCACCGTCGCGGTCAGCACCGGCGCCGGTCCCGAGTCAGCAATCGTCACGACCGTCGTGTCAGCCGCGCCGACGGCAAAGCCGTTGTCTGCTCCGGTAATCTTGACGTCGAACGTCTCGCCGCCGTCGTACCATGTATCCGCAGCCACAACTGCGTTGTACACCACGGACATCTGGCCTGGAGGAACGACAACAGTTGTTGACTCGGCCGTAAAGTCAGCCCCGCCAGTCGCGAGTGAACCGGATGAGACAGACGTCTGGATGTTGATCGTGACAGGCGATGGCGAAGTAGCGAGCAAGTTGACTGTGATGGGCACGTTGACCGTGCCAGAGCCCGGCTCTGTTGTCGCTGCCGTCGGCGCCGCCATCTGCACCACCGCCACATCGTCGTTGGGGATGTTGGTCAAGATGGTCGCGGTCGTCGTCGGGTTGCTCGCACCGTTAAGGTTGACCACCGCATCAAAGTCGACAACTTCATCCGCCTCTGCATCGCCATCGCCAGCCACCACTAGTGAGACGTTAAAGGAGGTCTCGCCGGCAGCGATCGTGAACGGTCCGCCCGTTCGATCGATGGTGCCGACCAAGTCCGCATCGCCAGGAAGCGTGGCGGTTGTTGCCGGCCCGTCGACATTAAGCGTGAGTCCGGCGGCGTACTCGGACGGACGCGAGAGTGTCAGCTGGTACACAACCTCGTTGGACTCGCCGACTCGTCCGTCACCCGGGAGAGTTGAGGAGAGGGATGCCGTGCCGTCGCCGGTGCTCGACGCCACGTTGCCGGAGACGACCGACGCCGTGACCACAGGGGCAGGGCCGCTGTCGTTGATGGTGAACGTTGTCGATGTCTGTCCGCCCACGGCACCTTCGACCGAGGTGCCGGCGATGGAGACGGTAAACTGCTCACCGTCGTCCCAGAACCTGTCTGCGGCCACGGGAATGTCGTAAGTAAACGTTGTGACGCCGGCCGGGATAACAATCGACGCCGGCGGGGGAGTAAAGTCGGTTCCGCTCGTCACGAGCGATCCGCCAGGGGCTGTCGTCGCGAGGTAGACCGTAACCGGCGCTGTCGAGGGCGCCGAGAGGGTAAACGTAAGTCCGGCATTGGCCGATCCGCTCGAGGGCTCGGTGACTGAGGTAGCGCTGTTGGTCATCGAGATGGTGACCGGTGTGTCGTCGTTGAGGATGGTGACGTTCGCTCGTCCGTCAGCGATGATCACCGTAGGGCCTGCTGTCTGGGTCACGTCGAGGAAGAACCACTCGTCGTACTCGACAATGTCGTCACCATTGATGGTGACCGAGAGCGAGTTACAAAAGTCGCCCGAGCTGATGACGATGGAGCCTGAGGTGGCGACGTAGTCGCCCGAGCCAGCTGTCGCCGTACCGTCGGCCGTCGTGTAGGCCAGCGTGATGTCGCCAGCGAGGTACGATGAGACGGCAAGCTTGACCTCGACAACGGTGGTGCCCGAGTCAAGCTCCGTCAGGACGTAGTCGATGAGATTCACCGTCGCAGTCTCGCACTGTGACGGCTGTGCCACCGAGATGTTGATGGCCTCCGAGACAGTGACCTCGACAAGCGAAAAGGTGTTGAGGATGGCGGTATCACCCTTGGAGCCCGAGACAAAGTTGCCCCAGGATCGTGCATTGACGTTGGGAGAAATCGGATCGGTCGATACTCCCGAGTCGATGCCGCAGCATCCCGAGTACGTCGCGCCGAACTGCCCGTTGGGCATCGCGATCGGCGCGTTGACTCCATCATCGTTCCAGTACATGATCTGCGGGCGAGGCGTGCCACTTGAGTGATCAAACATCCGCAGGCCGGGGTACACCGTCTCCATGTCGACCAGCGGGAAGTGGATCTCATCGAGATAGACAAACATCTTGCAGGTGTAAAAGCCCGCGGTGACGAGGGCGTTGTTGTCATCGCGACCATCCCACTCGACAATGTTGTCGCCCGCCACGGTTGTGCCACGCAGGGAAGTATCGGTCTGGCGGACAAGGTCGAGGGCGCCGTCACTGTTGGTATCGCAGACAAGAGTATATCGCCCGCCGGCAGCATCGGTGTTGAACTTGAACCGAGGATGGACCTTGTCTGCGACCACGGTGTTGCAGTCAGAGATAAAGTCGAAGCAGCCGAGCGTGACAAACTCCACACCTTCAAACACAATGTTGGGCACGGACGATGAGAGCGTGACGTGCTCCGGCTTGGAAAGGTAGAGGCGGATGTTGGGCGTGACCGAGTTGCCGGACTGCAGAACAGACTTGTATTTTGGTGTCGCCGTCTCGATGCCGGTCGTCGACGCGGCGATCTGGTAGATGAAGCCCGCCATGCCTTCGAATCGGTTCTCCACAAGCTTGGCGCCAAGCGACGTCGAGAAGAGTGACCAGATGGAGACGTCGACCGCGTCGCTCTGAGAGAACGAGTTTGAGGCGAGGTTCCACGAGAACGAAAAAACTCGTCCGGCATCAATCGACGATGTCGACGTGTCATACACGGAGATGTCCCAGACCGCTCCGTACGTCTGGTCCAGCGTAAGGAGCGCACCATACACACCCGTCATTGTCGGAGTGTACAATTGGCCGGAAAGAATGGTCCCCACTTGGGCAAAGTCTCCAGGGCGGTAGATCCGGAGTTGACCCGTGCCCTGAAAGTAAATGCGCTGGTTGGCAATGTTATCAATGTCAAGGTAGAGAACAGTCGACGCTTGAAGCGCCTGCGTAGTACCGAGTTGGGTCGTGCCGTCGCCGCGCGCTAGGTGTGCAAGCATGCATACCATTGCCATGGTTGTCAGGACTTGGTAGACCGCCATGCTGATGTGCTTTGGGTATCCGACTTGTCTGCGGCGTGCGGGAGAGACGTGTCGAAGTTTGTTGCATCGAAGAATAATTTGGTGACAATAGAGTCACGATGACCGCACAAGTTCGAACAAAGCCCCGCTTTCCCGCACTTGCTCAGCCGCTTGCAACCCAACTATCCAGCCAACACGCGAAAGTTGGGCGCTAACTAGGGGACTAATGGACACTTGATGGTCTTACTAGCACGAGCAGCAAGCAACTCCGTCGCTACCTGTTGATAATGTCTCCTGGACTCCGGACATCATCTGAGTATGCTCGTCATGTGCGGCACAGCGAGGACGGGACATCCGCTTTGACTGCCTTTGACCAATCATCTTCGCTGTCATCCGTTTGCTCTCCCGTGGATACGTTCCACCCCGGTGGTATGTGAACAGTATCGCACAGCTGCATTTTTCCCAAACACAACCCAAGACCCCTCCGCATCTGTTTGGACATGCTACCCATCATCCGCACCTCAAACGTCAGCCAAACCAGGCACCAGCAGTCAGTTCTTCCCCCCACAGCTGCGGCTTAGAAGCGTGACAGATAAGGTGCGTTTGTCTATCGACCTCACACACACAGAACAAATTAACCGATATTGTCGACGACACAGGGAGTGCTCACGTTGCTACACTTGACGCTCGCTCAAGGACACACACCCATGTCGTCGAGCTCGTTGTCGGCAACTGACAGTCGTTCGTGGGCATATGAAGACTACGCTCCGTCAGCACATGAGATTCACTCGCTTGTCGCGACTGTAATCGTGGCGGTAGGTGCATGAGGGCGCGATGCCGGCGGGGGCTGGCGGTGAGCGGGGCGGTGAGCGAACAAGGTGGTGGAGCCGAGCCGACTGGAACGACTGCTGACCCGCACACCATACTCACTCCAGTTTTTGCATAGATCGGTGCTCTGGTGGCCATTATCGGCCTGCTGCAAATGCCGAGTTTGGGCAAGATTCATCTAACGAGCGCATTTGCAGTCTCGATCTTCCTCATCGACGTCATTGTGTACTTGGTGGCCATCGGCACCGGGTTGCTCGTCTGGCTCGCCTCCAACTTTGGCTCGTGGGAGGCACGGTACTCGCGGCTTTGGAAGGCCAAGGTCCTCGCCGGCCTCGCCATGCCTGTGTCCTCGATCTTCACACTCTGCCGCATGCTCATGATCTTCATTCACTGCCAGCGGGCCGTCGACCGCGATCACGACCACCACAACGAGGGCTGCTGGGGCAACCTCGACACCGTCCGCACCACCATCATCCTCCAGTTTGTCGGCTCGATTATCATCGACATCGGTCTGTTCTGGGCCACCTACAAGGCTCACACCCGCCGCCTTGCTGTTATTCTCCTCCTTGAGACCGTCGACCGCCGCATGGCCGAGGCTCAAATGCCGCTCCTCGCCTCGGACTCGGCCGCAGACTCGGGCATCGGCTCGGACTCGCGCGCTATGTCGTCGTCGAACCTGTGAACACCGACTACCACCCGCCGCAGCCGTGCATCTGCCGCCGCTGCCGTTGTGTGCTACAACCTGTTACCCACCACCCGCCGTCATCCCCCTCCGGACCCTGCCTTGTCGAGAATGGCCATGGCGTGCTTGGGCAGCATCGACTTGATGTGGTCATCTTTGTAGCCAAGAGCCCTCAACTGTTCAGCCATTTGCATTGTCACCATCAAAGGAATTCCCCTTGCCGCCGCGTCACCGCATTGACTCTCTCCTCTTCTGCCTCCCCGTCTGCCGCCCGTCCCAACCCCGGACTTGCCCGTCCCCCACAAGAACGTCTTCCATCCGCGACACACAGCCCGCCTACCACCATCATCGTCATCAGTAACACCACCATCATCATCATCATCATCATCATCATCATCATCATCATCATCATCATTAGTACACGAACATCCACATCCCACAACCCACCCCATACGCCCACGTCATGCCCATACCATGCTGCCTCTCCGCTCACATCGCCTGCAAGCACCGCCGCAAGCCGACTCCGAGCTCCGTCCATGCTCTCTTTCCCGCCCAGCTGTTCTCAGCAATACTCGCCGTAGAGTCGGGTGGCCGGTAGTGGTGGGAGTGTTGTGCTTGTGCCTATGGCACGGAGGGTACGTGGTCGTCGAGTGTGAGCTCGCCTCTCGCGGAGACCAGTCAAGTTGAAGCGTCCGGCCGAGCAGGAGGGCCACCATCAGCAACAAGCACCCAAACAACTTGCCCCCCCAGACCGAGAGAGCGATGAGCGCATGCACGGGGGGGGGGGGGGGAGGGCAAGGGGGAGGAAGGGGGTTAGTGCTGGTAATGCCGGTCGATGATCACGGGATTGATACGATGGCTTGGCGCGCGGCGGCTGATGGCGCTTGGACACCAGTATGCAGACACAGCATGACATCACGCCGATCACGGCACACAAGAGCAGAGATCGACTTGCTACATCATCATCACAACAGGTGGCATATAACCCAAACACTGATAAACAACTTTCTCTGATTGTCTTCAACTACGCCACCCCCCCTTCCGGGTCGACGCCCGAGTACCAACCACGGCTACTTTTATTCGTGATCACACATTCCTTTTTGCAACTCCAACTTGCTGTTCTCCGCCTCCATCACGCACCGCTCCTCCTGCCCACGACCGCCCACACCTTCCCACACTACAGATATCAATTGTCTCCACCCACTTGTCTACTTTTCCCAGCCATCACACCATCATTCTGTCCATCTCATGCCCTTCCCCGCGCGACCCACACCGAACCGAAGGTGATCACGATCGCGATCACGAGCATGATCATGCTCATGCTCTTGATCAAACCGCACCACACCTCGCTCGCCGACCGCCATGGGAGAGACCTTTTCCAAATGGGGAGAGCAACCGAGTGCGGCGCAAGCGCATGCCGAAGCCATGCGGAACGGGTGGGGGGAGAAGGCACTCCGACTTGCCCAATCCAAGTCACGCGGTCTTGCAGAACTCGCCGCCGTCCTTGCTGACCATTGCTCGCCGCACGCGCCAAGTCCGCTCGCCGCGCTGTCTCGAGGCGGCGCGAAGGGAATGCAAGCCAAGAGAGATGAAGATGGCGAAAAAGATGCCTGCCGTGGAAAAAAGATGGATGTCTCTGGCGCGGGGGAAACGTCGGTCGAGGCTGCCGAGGAGGCGCTCATTCGCGCTTATGACGACGACCAGCTGTTGCACGTCGAGTTCGATGACGCCGGCCGAGTCCATGTAGATGCGGTGGTTGACAGCGCTGGCCTGGGCCTGGTCCACTACGCCGCTATGGCCGGGCACGTCGAAGCTGTGGCTCTGCTAGTCGACGAGTACGGCGCTGCGGCCGACGCCAGCCTCGCTCCCGATGGTCTCACGCCGATGTTCTCGGCCATGCTACACGGTCGGTGGGCCATGATGGAGCTGCTACTGACAAAGTACGGCGCGGATCCGTGCCGCGGATGCCAGGGTAACGACGCGACGCTTCTCCATGTCGCCGCTAAGCTCTCGTACGTCGATATCTGCGGCCTGCTCTCGACGCTGGAAGCGGCGCTGCCGGCGTCAGCAAGTACGGCGACTGTCGACAAGCTCCTGGCGGCGCGAATCACCGCCGGCCTCACCCCGCTGCACGTTGCCGTTCTAGGCGCCAACACCCGCGCCATATCCGCGCTCCTCGCCGCGTCGTCGGCCCCGGCTGAGCTGCTTGCCGCCCAGGACACTCTGCGAATGTTCACTCCGCTTCACCTCGCGGTCCTCTACGGGTTACCGCTTGAGGTCTTTGAAGCCCTCGCCGGTGGTGGCGTCGCCGCCAGCGGCGCGGCACGCCTCAAGTCTACCAGCGGGCTCACGCCGCGAGCTCTCGCCGACGCCCTCGACGCTGGCGCCGGTGCCGACGTCGGCCCGGTCGTTGCCCAGCACCTCATGCACTACGCGTACGACGAGGCGCTCGCTCGCGGCGCGGCCAGTCCCGGCGCGCCGCACGTCGCTGCTGCACTCGAAAACATGGGCGTGTGAACTGACTGCAATCTTTGCTACCGCGCTACTGGCCATCACCGCACGCGGCGGCCTCGAGCTCGTCGATGGCGGCTTCAAAGCAGGCGGCCAGCTTTTCGGGGTCCTCGATCACGTCGGCGTCGAGCGCAAAGGTGACGGTGACGTTGCCGTTGTAGGAAAGCGCCGAGACCTGGGAGATGAGGTTGCCGATGTACACAATGACCTCGTCGACCTTGTGGCCAGCACAGTAGACCGGCGTCGGCGGGCCGGGTACGTTGGTGAAGACAAGCGTGTGCGAGAGCATGGTGTCGAGCGCCGTCTGCTTGCGTGGCGCCGTGGGAAGGACCGCCGACGCAAGCTGCTGGAGGTAGAACTGGAGGTGGGCCTCGGGTGTCGACTTGAGCGCGTCGATCTCGGCCTTGACCTCGGCGAGCGCCGCCTGCGGCGACATGTCCGCGAGCGGGAGCTTGAGCGAGAGGAAGCACCACTTGTTGGTGAGCACCTTGCTCCGCTGAGTAAAGGCGTAAGGAAGGAAGACCCGCAGCAGCGGCGAGGCGTCGTCAACCACAGGATCGCCGACCTGCGCAAGGTACGCCCGCGCAGCCCGCGCCAGACCCGCAGCCATCACATCGTTGATCGTCGCCCCAAGCGCGTTCTTGATCTTCTTCAGCCGCTCCACCGCAATCTTGCGTGTCCGCACCAGCCGGTACGCCTGGGGGCGGACCCAGCCGGCGAGCGACCGCTTGAGGGCGTTGGGCGAGTCCGCCGGCCCAGCCGGCAGCGTCACAACCTTGAACGCTGCCCGAAGCGTGCCGAAGCCGAGCTTGACCGCCGCCGCCGCGCGCGCAGCCAGACTCGGCGCCGCTGCCACCGCGCGCCGCTGGAACGGCGGCAGTGTGTACGCGCTGCCGTCGCCGTGGGTGAGGAGCGAGATGAGCGTGTGGACGAGCGAGACGCCGTCGCCGACCACATGCGAGATGCGGAGCAGGAGCAGGCCGCGACAAGAGTCAGCAACTTTGACCAGTCGAATTTGCCACAGCGGCCGGCTCTCATCGAGCTCCTCGCCTACCAGCGGCTGGCAGTACGCCATCAGCTCGTCCTCGCTCCCCACTCTGTCCTCCACGACGTGGTAGGCCCAGTCCGGCGTGCCCGGACGAGGCCCCCAAGCGAGAAAGCCCTCTTCCAACAGCGTCGGTGGAACGGCAACAACCGGACAGGCAAATCGATCATGCGGGAGGAGGATGTCGTCGGTGACAGCCACGATCTCGTCGACTGTTGGCATGGTCTCCATGAACAGGGCGGCGTGAATGGGCGCCGAGGGAGCATTGACATGATCGGGGAAAGGATTCTCCGCAATGAGTTGCGACATGAACGAGAGTCGCCGTTTGCGCAGTCCCCGACGTCCTTCAGCTGCTGTTGCCGTCGAGAGCTTCTCCACACCCATGGTGGTCACCAGCAGAGCAAGGACCGCCAGTCCCGCACTCGCCGGGGAGACCCATCCGTATTCCAGCTGGTACACTCCGAGAAAGTACCCAATCCCTCCAGCAATCCACGGGCCGAACCTAGGAACAATGCCCTTCATCCTGCTCCTCGCTCCTTCCCTGCCGAGTCGGGTCTCCCTCGCCCTTGCTTGACCCCCCCCCCCCTCCCCTCCCCAATCCGTCGCCCAGTCGCAGCCTCTCCCCGCCGCCTACGCCGCCCGCCCCCACCCACTACTCACACCGCAATTGCACGGCTCTGCCGTAATTGACCGCAATTTGTTTTTGGGTACTCACCCAACACCGTAACCCCCCCCCCCCCCCTCATCCCCCCATCCCTCCATCCCCATCCCGTCATCCCCATCCCCATCCCCATCCCGTCATCCCACATCGCCATCCCTCCTCCATCCCTATCCCCTTATCGTCATCCCTACTGCACCCCCCCCCCCCCCTCCCCCCCCCCCCGCCCCCATGTGCCCACCGGTGCCTTCCCAACTCGCACATGCCAGTCGCCCCCATCAAAACAGCACACCGCGCACGACCGTGCCACTACCAGCCAGTAGCCACAAACACCTCACTTCCACCTGGCGTATGTCGGTCAACGCAGCAGAGGCAACAACGCCTCTCCTTCAAGATGTGGGAGCTACGGGTGGGGAGGAGGTGAGTCAGCCATCGCTCGTGGCCCGGCTGTGGGACGATGCGGCGGCGGTGCTGGTGCCTGCCGCCGATGACGAGGGCTTTTACTCCAAGTTTTATCAAGATGATCGCGAGGAGTCCATCTTTCGTCCGGGACCCAAGGACATTCCCAGATCAGAGCTGCAGCGGTTCTGGAGGGATTCCGAGCATGCTCTTGGCGGGAGTCATGTTCTTGCTGACGTCGAGAGCTCGGATGGCGCTGCCGCGCGCGCTGCCTTAGGGCGCGTCTTCTGGCGCCGATTTAAGCGCCTGCTCTCGTGGTCCTTCCGCACCCGCTGCTGCTGCACCCGCGATGGCTCGCTCCTTGCCCTCGGCATAATGCTTGCCATCTTTGGTGCCATCTCAAACACCATGTTCTTTGTCCTCTTCCCACCCATCATCTCTGCCGTCAAGGACCGGTCGTTGTCGCGGTTCCTCACCTCAATGTTACCCATCGTCATCGTTGCTGCCACCGCAACGCTCCTCCAGGCCACAGCCATCTACGTCGGCCAGCGAGTTGCCGTCCGCCTCCGCAAGTCGCTAACCCGCCGGCTGCACTTTCGCTACCTCTCGCGCAACATCTACTATCGCATGGTTCTTATGGACGGGCGGGTGGACAATCCGGACCAACGGATCGTCACCGACACTGAGTCGTTTACCTCGGCTGTTCCGGCTATTCTCTGCGGCACGCTCGACCAAACTGGCGGCGCGCTTGGAACGCTCGTTCCCGGAATCATTCTTGGCTTCCTCACCCTGCAAGAGCTCGGTTGGCAGGCGCTAGCCCTCGCCATTCTCATGTCCATCTGCTCCACCTTTTTGGCCAAGACCTTTATCGGCCGCGTCGTTCCGCTCGTCTTCCGACAGGACCGGCTTGAGGGAGACCTCCGCTTTGCGCACGTCCACATCCGCGAGCACGCCGAGGCCATCGCCTTTCTCGACGGCCACGAGCAGCAGCACCGCTCGATCAACCTCGGCCTCCGGCGTGTTCTCGCCAACGCGTACGCGCTTGCCAAGAAGCGCTTCCCGCTCAACCTCGCCGTCAACCTCTCGCAGGGCATCTCCAACAACATCGCCATCCTTGTCCCGGCCATCGTCTTCTTTGCCTACGGCTTCCCCTCCAAGAACGCCGACGGCTCGCCCAACACGCCCTCGCAGAACGCCTCGCTCTTTGATAACGCCTTTGCCTACCTCTCGGGCTTCACCGGCGCCACCATGACCCTCCTCTCGTACTCCCAGACCATCACCCGCCTCGCCGGCGTCACCAACCGTCTCGGCGAGATGCTCGAGGTCATGGACGATGTCCAGGCCCAGGAGCGCATCCACACCTTCCACCTCGCAGGATCCCACGAGGCCGTCATGATCGGCGACACGCTCACCGAGCCCAACCGCATCGCCCTCGCCGATGTCTCAGCCTACACCCCGGACAACGTCAAGCTCGCCACCCGCATCTCGTTCGAGGTCCGCCCCGGCGGCTCGCTCCTCATCATGGGCCCGTCGGGCGTCGGCAAGTCCTCGCTCCTTCGTGTCCTCGGCGGCCTCTGGCCCACACACGGCGAGGGCACCATTTCCCGCCCCGCGCGCATCGGCCGTGACGGCCTCTTCTACCTCCCGCAGGTCCCGTACATGGTCCTTGGTGGCTCGCTCGCCGACCAGGTTGCCTACCCGCTTTCTGACGGAGCCTCCGTCCCGCTCGCCACCCTCGACGCTCTCCTTGCAGAGTTTGACCTCGCCCATCTTCCCACCATCGAGGCCGCCGCCCGCGACGCCGGCGAGCCGCTCAAATGGGACGTCGTCCTCTCCGGCGGGGAGAAGCAGCGCCTCGCCATGGTCAGGCTCTTCTTCCATGCGCCCAAGCTCGCCATTCTCGATGAGTGCACCTCAGCCGTTAATGAGGAGTTGGAGGACGTGTTCTACCAAAAGCTCACAGCCTCGGGCATCGGCTTTGTCTCGGTCGCCCACTCGGTTCGTGTCCTGCCCTTCCACCAGCAGGTGCTCTTTCTCGAGGGGCCCGACAGCTACGCGCTCCTCTCCCGCGAGGACGCTGTCGCCCGCCTCGAGGCCGATCGCGCCGGAAACTTGGTCGCAGAGCCACTTCCGGTCTCGCTCTCGGTCCTCGCTCCCGGCTCTGCTACCCGCGGCACTCTCCACCGCTCGTTTGACTCGCTCAGCATCGCCGACGACCCCGAGGTGACACTCCTCACCTCGATCGGTGCTCGCGGCTCGCGCTCCGACAACGCGCTTCCCACCGACGTCCCCACCTACCGGCCGATCTCAGAGGCTACTGCCGTCGGCGACGCAAGCTCGCCGCCGCCCACCCCGTTTGCCAAGACAGACATCCCAGACCACGAGTTTGAGGCCTTCTTCCCCTTCCCCAAATCGGTCGCCGCCTCGCTCCTTGCCACAGTCGAGGCCGTTGACCAGGCCTCGACCCGATCGGCGCTCGGCCTCAGACTCCTCGAGCGCATGCGGCGGCTCAACGCCATCGTCTTCCTCTCGCCCACCTCGCAGCCTCGCAAGCTTCTCCTCTGCGGCTCGGCCCTTGTCCTCTACGCCGCCGCAGCCACCGTGGCCGGCCCGCTCATCCTCGCCCGGATCGTCGACTCGGTCTCAAAGTCGCAATCGGGCACCTTTATCACTTGGATGTCGGTCCTCGCCTTCCTCACTGTCTCCACTAGCATCACTACCGCCTTTCAGTACTACTACGCCGCGCTCCTCGGCATCGTGGGCCACAAGGGCCTCTCCCGTCACCTCCACTTTCGCTATCTCAACGGCAACAACTACTACCAGGCCAACGTCGCAGACAGCCGGATCGACAACTGCGATCAGCGGCTCACCGAAGACGCCCGCTCCTACGCCCATGTGCTCGCCCAGGTCCTTCTTGGCACTCCGCTCTCGCCGTCGGCCCTCGCCGTATTCCCGGTCACCATCGGCCTTACCGTCGTCGCCTGGTTCCAGATCACATGGATCGGTGTCGTCCTCGCCTACGCGCTCGCCATCCTGGTCTTCCTCCTCTCGCGCGCCGCCACCGCCCCGCTTGTCCCGCTCGTCTTCCGCCAGGACCGCCTCACCGGTGACCTCCGCTTTGCTCACGTCCGCCTCCGCGAGGCCGCCGAGTCTGTCGCCTTCCTCGCTGGCCACGCCACCGAGCACAAGCTCCTCAACAAAGCCCTCGCCCTCGTCCTCCACAACTTGGTCAAGCTCGTCAAGAAGCTCTGGTTCCTCTCTGTCTACGTCATTTTCTCCGCCTACCTCGGCGTCCTTGGCGGCTTTGCCCTCCCGGGCATCCTCGCCTTCACCGGCCACCTCACCGGCAACGTCGAGAACAAGTTCCTCATTGTCTACATCACCTTCAACACCCTCTACCGCAACATTGTCGAGGTCCTCACCCTCTCAGGCGCCCTCGCCAAGCTCTTTGGCCACGCCAACCGCCTCGGCGACCTCCTCGAGATATTTGATCTCTACGACCACGAGGCCCGCGCAATGTCGGCCATCGTCGCAAACCCAGACGCTGTCGTCTTTGACAATGTTACCGTCGAGACGCCGTCCGGCAAGCGTCTCGCCAGGGACCTCTCTTTTCGCGTTGGCACTGGTGACTCGCTCTTTGTCGAGGGCCCGTCCGGCGTCGGCAAATCGTCTATCCTCCGCACCCTCATGGGCCTCTGGCCTCCGGCCTCTGGCCGTGTCGAGCGCCCGCTCGCCATCGGCCGCGGCGGGATCTTCTTCCTCCCGCAGTCACCGCTCCTCATCCTCGGCTCGCTCAAGGACCAGATCGTCTACCCGCGCTCCGCCGCCGAGGCCCCGCTCTCCGACGCCGACCTTCACGAGCTCCTCTCCCTCGTCCGCCTCTCACACCTCCTCGATCGCGCGTACGCCTCTACAAACAGTGGGCTCTACGCAAACTGGGCCAATATCCTCTCCGGCGGCGAGAAGCAGCGTCTTGCCATGGCCCGTCTCCTCTTCCACGCCCCCAAGTTTGCCATCCTCGACGAGTGCACCTCGGCCCTCGACGAAGACATGGAGAACACCTTTTACTCGCTCGCCAACTCGCTTGGCATCCAGTGCATCTCGGTCTCGCATCGCTCCAACGTCCGCCGCTTCCACACCACTGCCCTCCAGCTGGCTCCCGACGGTTCTTGGGCTCTCCACAACGTTACCCGTGGTAGCGAGCTTGCTGCCCCCGCGTCATTGCCGTCTTGGCGAGCAGAATGAACACAGAACCACTGCAACAAAACCACGGCGCTACATCCGCTCGATAGCCTCAGCCACTCTCACCACGTCGACGTGAAGCAGGCCGAGCTGGTCAAGGCCCAGATTAGAGCGGACGCCCGCCACGTTAAGCCTCACCCCGGGTGGCGATGATACAAGCACCACCAACGGGCGGAGAGCCAGAAACGGCGCAAAGGTTCGGAGCAGCGCCCGTGCGTGTGGAATGCCCTGATCGCCATCCACTGCCCAGTACACGCACGCGAGCACGTCACCATCGATCATGGCCCATAGAAAGCTCGCCCATGAGCGGCGCGCCGCAAGACCCAGTGGGAAGACCGCAAGCGCCATCCGCGGCGCATCTACCCGACACCATCTGCTCTTGGGCGCCTTGCCCAGCGCCTTGACCGACACACTCTGCCGGCTGCTCCCTTCCTGCCCGCTTGCCAGCCACGGCACTCGCCGTTCGGCTGACTCGTGGAGGAGCACCGGATCGTGCCGCGGAGCAAGATGCGCCATCGCGGCAGCCAGCGCATAGCCATCCACCGCAAGGACGGGCGCCCAGGCCCGAGGCGGCAGCGGAGGAAGCGGTGCGGCAGGCTGGCTTCCAGCCCATAGATAGGCTCGGGTGAGACCCGCTAGGCTCGTATCCCAACTTGGGTCATGGAGTGGCGAGACCCGCGCGTTCCGACGACAGCACCCGCAGCAGCAGCACCACACCCACCACCGCATGCACACGTCCATCACCGCTGCCAAAACGCCTTCCAGAAGCTCCTTGACCCTCTCCACAACCACAACACCAGCCACTGCGCCAACGTGAGGTGTATTGAACAGCCGCCGGCGACACGGCGTCGTCTCCCCTAACTCGAACCTGTCCGCGATCGCGATCGCCGCTGTGATCAATCTCTCGCTTTTGCCGTCTGCCGAAAAAGGCCGTCAAAGACCTCTTCGCCAAAGTAGCGACTCGCGCGTGCGCGGGCTCCTCCCGCCTCCCTCCCTCCCTCCCCCCTCTCGCCTCTGTCGACAGCCAAACGCAACAGGGAACAACACCGCACTCAGCCCAAGGTCACATGGGCAATGCCAAGAGTAGCCAAGGGAATAGGTTGCACCTTACCGACGGCCAAGAGGGGAACCAAGGGCACGCCGGGGGCGGGGGCGGCGGCGGTGGCGGGGGGAGAGGCGGTCGGAGCGGCGGTGGAGGTGGTCACCTGGCAAGCCCGATGCGGACAAGACGACCTGGTCCGCCTGTAGTCTCGCCCCATACACCGATGCAAAGACCTCATGGACCTCTTGCACACATGCGGGATGGGCAAGGTGTCGGTGGTGACGGTCAGGGTGACGGAGGAGGAGGAGGAGGAGATGATGATGGTGTCACCGACCCAGCTGACGTCCTTCTCGCCTCTACCCTCGCCGCCCTCACGGCTTCCCCGCCGCCTACCCACATGGATTTGTCCCGGCTGCACCTAGGAGCGCCCAGGTGGGCTCAGGTGGCCACCGCTCTGGCGAGTAATACCGGAACAACCGCCCTGGATGTCTCGTACAACCAGCTCGGCACCGATGGCGGGCTGGCCCTCGGTCAGGCGCTGGCGGCAAACACGGCGCTGGTGGCTCTGGACGCCGGCTACACCGGCCTGGGGGCGTACGGTGGCGCTGGGCTTGTCGCGCCGCTCGAGCAAGACAACTCTTCCCTGAGGTGGCTCGGGTTGGAGAACAACGAGCTCGGTGTCCACGCTGGCATGGCGCTGGCGCGGGCGCTGGCCTCAAACTCGGGCCTCACGGTCCTCAACGTGGCACACAACGAGCTCGGCGACGCGTTGCATCACATCGTCAACGCGCTGATGTCGAACAGCACCCTGCTCTCGCTCAATCTTGCCGGTAACTTGCTCGCCGAAGACGACGGCGAGCCGCTTGACGCCCGCCCACTGCTGAGCGGCGAGCTTGCACTCCGCGAGCTTGACCTTCGCGACGTGCGGCTGTGGGACGAGTCGGACGAGGCAGGAAGCGAGCACGGAAGCGGTTCTCATAGTGAGCCTGCGGATTCGCGCGGTTCGCTCGGTCCGGCAAGCACCGAGCGGCTGTTTGGCCAGCCGCTGATGTGGCTGTTTGGCAACTCGGTGCTCACCTCGCTCTCGCTGGGTGGCAATGCTGTTGCGCACTCGGGCTGGGCGCTCGCCGAGGTCCTTGCCAACAACGCCACGCTCTCGTCGCTCGAGCTGGACGGGCGCGACTGCCCGCTTGGCTCGGACGACCGCGGCATGCTGGAGGCCATCGGCGAGGCGTTGTCCGACAACGCGGCGCTCACCGCGCTGAGCCTCCCGTCGCACGGATTGGACGCCACTGCCGGCGCCATCCTCGGCGCCGCGCTCTCGGTCAACGCCGCGCTCACTGCGCTCAATCTCCGCAACAACTCGCTTGGCCCTGACGGCGGCCGCGCGCTTCTTGGCGCCTTTGCCCACAACACCACTCTTGTTGCGCTCAACGTCCGCTCCAACGCTATCGGCGCGGCAGTCAAGGCCGGGCTCTCTGAAGCGCTCGCGGCAAACATTGCCCGCACCGCCAACCACCCGCCGCGCCCGCTCCCGCCGCGGGTTGCCGGCACCCGCGCCCCACTCGTCTGCCTCGAGTGGACGCCGCTCGCCGAGGCGCCAGGCAAGCCCGTCCTCTCCTCGCTCAACTGGCTCGACCTTCATCCCAGCATGCCCGCGGCTGGCGTGGTACCCAACGCCGGGCGAGTTGTCGTCCATGTTCTTGTCCTCGCCTCCCGCGCCGTTTATGTCGGGACCGGCTCGCGCGCGGTAGTTGCTGCCGATCCAGGCGCCATGGCCCACGTCGCTGCAGTCTACGTCGACGCGTCGCGGACTAGTACCATGGGCGAGCTGACGGCGGCAGCGCTTGCGGCGGTCGACGACGGTGCCGGTGCACGGTCGGCTGCGTCCGCTGTGGCGGGCATGACGAACCGCGTGCGGTCGTCGGCGCGAGTCGCCGAGCTCGAGCGCGAGCTCGAGGACGCCCATGTCCGCGTCGGCCAGCTCGAGGCCAACCTCCGGGTGGTGCAGGCACAGTTGGCATCGCAGTCGCCGCCGCCGCGGGTCCGCGTCTCCACCGGAGCGCACTCGCCGGCGCTCGCCGCCCAGCTCGACCTGGTCACCGCCAAGCTGCAGTCGATGGAGAAGCGTGCGCTGGCCGCCGAAGAGCGGCTCTCGGCGCTCGCCCGCCTCGGCAAGCTCTCTGGCGGCGGGAGCGGGAGCGGAAGCGGCGGCGATCATGGCCACCTTCCGGCAGTGGCGCAGAGGGCGTCGCCGGCCGGAATGGGAGGGGGCGGGGCCGGGCCCGGGGCCGGACCGCCCGGCGGTGAGTCGCCGATACGGCCGTCGGCGCGCGCCCGGCTCCGGCTCATGGTCGAGATGTCCAACACCAATGCGACCAAGCCTGCGCTCCAGCCATCGCCCGGCTCGCCGGGCATCAACGGGCGGCGATGAGTGTAGTCTATGTAAAAGCACGCCCAGCATTTAGTTGTCCGAGTCGAGCGCGGCAACAATGGAGTTGGCATCGACTCGGCCGGCCGGCTTACCTTGCGCAAAGTGCGGCGATCCGCCGCCGCGCCCGCCACCGACCTTGTCGAGAACGTCAGCGAGGAGCGCAGGAGCGTTACCGCCGTTGGAGGCAGCGACAGCCACGACTCCGTCGTCCGGACAGACGAGAACGTGATGCGCAACAGCAGAGGCCTGCCCGACCAGCGCCCGCCCTGTGTCTTGCAGCGCAATGCGAAGAGCCTTACCGGACGCATCGGGCGCGAGGCCGAGCGTCTCGCGTGTCACCGAGTACACGGCAAGCGCACCAGCAGAGAGCTCGGCGATTGGCACAAGGCCTACCGACTTGCTGGCGGGACCGGTCTTGCGCTGCTGCTTGCGGAGCGTCTTGAGCGCCGAGGCGGCCTTGCGGCGAGCTGCGTCGGACCGGTCGGCGTGACGACGACGGCCGAGGCTGTCGGGGCGATGCCGCGGACGGCGGCGGCTGCGCGGAGCTCGGCGTGCTGGGCAACGAGGTAGTCTGCGGCGGCCGGGCCGGCGAGGGCCTCGACGCGCCGAACGCCGGCGCCGATGCCACGCTCGCCAAGGACGACAAAGGGCGCGAGAGCGGCGGTCGACGCCACGTGTGTCCCGCCGCAGAGCTCGGTCGACGCATCGCCCATCGAGACCATGCGGACCGAGGACGGATCGTACTTTTCGCCAAAGAGAGCGAGAGCGCCACGTTCGACAGCGTCGGCATACGTCGTCTCGCGGGTCTCCACCGGAAGGTCAGCGGCGGCGGCGGCGTTGACCGAGGCCTCGACCGACCGGAGGAGCTCCGGCGTGATGGCCTTGCCTGGCTCGACCGAAAAGTCAAACCGGAGCCGGGCAGGCTCGACCCGCGATCCGGCCTGCGCCACCGACTCGCCGAGCTCGGCGCGGAGGGCGGCGTGGAGGAGGTGCGTCGCCGAGTGGTGGGCAGCGGTGCGGGCGCGGGCAGCAGCGTCGACAGCGACATCGACGGCGTCGCCGGGAGCGAGCGCAATCGACTCGCCGCCCTTGGACTCTACGACGACAACGGCGGTGCTCGGAGCCCGGGCAAGCGGGAGGAGCTGACAGACAACAAGCTCCTGACCGGTCGGCGTGACGAGTACGCCCGAGTCGGAGACTTGGCCGCCGGCCTCGCGGTAGAGCGGCGAGGCGGCGACGACGACGTAGGCGCGATGCGGCGCGGACGGCGGCGACCAGCAGGCGGCAACCGGCGCAGCGGTGACGGCAAGGTCATCGTAGCCGACAAACTGCGTGGCTGGCGGCTGAGCACCGAGCTGCGCAAGCAGTGCAGACTCGGCGGCGGCGGCTTCCCAGGCAGGCTCAGCGGCGGCGCCCGCTACGGTGCGAGAGGCCTCTCGCGAGGCCTGCAGGGCAGCGTGGAAGCCTGCGACGTCGACGGTGACGCCGGCATCCGCGGCGAGCATGGTGGTGAGATCAATGGGGAAGCCGTAGGTGTCGTAGAGCTGAAAGGCGTCAGCGCCCGAGAGCGCGTCTGTGTGGCGGACGGCGGCGGCGAAGCGTGCAAGGCCGCGGTCAAGGGTGGCGCGAAAGAGATGCTCCTCGGCCTCGAGGGTGCGAATGATGGTGTCTGTGGCGGCGGCGACGCGCGGCATCGAGTCGGCGAGCGAGGCAACAAACGGGGCGGCAAGGGCCGGGAGGCACGGGTCGTGCAGGTCGAGGGCGGTGTGGGCGTGGAGGAGGGCGCGGCGGAGGATGCGGCGAGCGACGTAGCCGCGCGACGAGGCTGATGGCATGACGCCCTCGGAAATGAGGTACGAGAGGCAGCGGAGGTGGTCGGCGACGACGCGGACGGCGATCGAGTCCGCAGCGGCCGAGTCGACCGAGTAGTTCACGGTAGCCAGAGACGGGACGCTGGCGAGCATGGCGGCGATGGGCTGAGCAAAGGCGTCGGTGGCGTAGTTGGAGGAGACACCCTGAACGACCGAGGCCAGGCGCTCCAGGCCCATGCCGGTATCGACGGCCGGCGCCGGGAGCTTGGCGCGGACACCATCGGCGCGGACCTCGTCCTCCATAAACACCACGTTCCACAGCTCAAGACACTCGTCTAGGCTATCCAGCGGCTTGCCCACCAGCGGATCCGGAATCCAGAACATCTCGGTGCAGGGACCACAGGGCCCGACCTCGCCCATGGCCCAGTAGTTGTCGGCGTCGCCGAGCTTGAAGACACGGTCGGGCGGGAGGCCGATGCTCTTGGTCCAGTGTGCGTAGGCACGGGCATCGTCGACATGGACCGAGACAGCAAGGCGATCGCGAGGAAGAGCCAGATCATGTGTGAGGAAGCGCCAGGCGAGATCGATGGCATCCTGCTTGAGCAGAGCGCCGTCAAAGGCAAAGTTGCCGAGCATCTCAAACAGAGTGTGATGACGAGGAGTAGCACCAACTTGATCCAGATCGTTATGCTTGCCACCAGCGCGAACACATGGCTGAGCCGTAGCCACATGTGCCGCCAAGCCAACGTTGAGATCCGAAGCCACAAATTGATCTCGGCCAGTGGAGCCGGTAAAGACGTCTCGAAATTGAACCATCCCCGCAGCATTGAACAACAGCGAGCCATCACCTCCCACAGGCACCGCTGGTCCCGGAGCCACACTCGGCACGCCCTCCTTCTCAAAGTATGCCAAGAACTTGTTTCGCAACTCGTTGCTGCTAAGGTACCGCTGGCCCTCGCCTCGCCACATCCATGTCGGCTGTCGGCTGACAATCCTCAGCATATGTATGGTCCGCTGATTTGAGTCGAGTGCTGCGCAGGCTGGTCATCGAGGGTTGGGGAGTAGGGAAGGCGAAGGTGAGGGGTATGTAGTGGGCATCGGGGCATCGAAGGATGGGGGGTGGGGTGGGGGTGGGTGGGTGGTGGGGGGGTGGGGGGGATGAGGTGATTGGGAGCAGGGGATGAGGGGGGGGGGGAGAGGAAGGGCTTCGCGGGATCGGGCCATCGGGGGACCGGGGGATGAGGGGGATGAGGGGGATGAGGGGGATGAAATACGGTAGAGGGTGGGATCGTATGTGATGCGATGAGTGTCATGTCATCAGCTTGTTTCGCTGTGAGTGGTGGGTGAATGGCGTTGGGCGGGCGGGCAGGCTGGCAGGCTGGCAAACAGGCGGGCGGGGGA